AATTTTCACTAAATACAAAAACTTTAAAATCTTATAAGTTTCTCATAAGTTGTTCATATACCAATTAAAAATATGAAATTACATGTCACAATATTATTTTTATAAACATCTAAAATTAGAATTTTCAGAAAATTCGTCAAAACGCGAAAATTTGACGATTATTTTGTAATTAAAAATTCATACATAATAGCTAGTTCATCCATCCTCAGACTACATGCATATAATACGTATCAACATAGCAGTGTTTGACGTTGAAGTCTCCGCGTTCCACCAGTATAATAGATATTAGTCAAGTTAATTATTTAAATTTAGATATTCACGTTATGTATTATAGCTAACCAAAATAAAAATTCAACATTTACCTAAAGGCGGATATGTATGATTTATAAATTTGTGGTGTTATTGGACTTTGGTCAAAAGTGACTCGGAATATAGATTCTATGGTAAAAAACATTGCGTTAGGTTTAGGTACTGCGTTATATTAATTTTGTTGTTAAAAAGAACTTGGATGTTAAGGGGATTCGATACCGTGATTTTCTGTTTTTGTCTAACACACTCGCGACATAGTATTTTAGACGTGTTTTTTGCCAAACATACCAATTGATATAATGAAGCGATAAGAATTCTGAAAACAGATTTGAATTTGTCGTCAAGTCTACTTGAGATCGACTTTCCCACATTTTTGATATTATCCCCCAAATTTTTTAAAATGTCATATTCAAAAAGAGTAATTAAAAGTTCTGGTATTTCAATTTTTGGAGAAGTTAAAATCAAAAAATCAAAAATGTGGGAAAGTCGATTTCAAGTAGGCTTGACGACAAATTCAAATCTGTTTTCAGAAATCTTATCGCTTCAATAGATCAATTGGAATGTTTGGCAAAAAACACGTCTAAAATACTATGTCGCGCGTGTGTTAGACAAAAACAGAACATCGCGGTATCGAATCCCCTTAAGTTAATAGAGTTGAGGTGCGGTTATCGATAATACCAATTATTGCTGTATAGGTACCTATTATAGCAGTTTAATGATGTGGCTTATAAAAGGTTTAAACTTAAACACTCAAACAAAAAATGATAATAAATAAATATTCATAAAAATATTTCAGCTTGCATTTAAATGTTTATTTTGACTTTTGAATAATAATAATAATAATAAAGGGGATATGGTAAAATAATTTTTTCCTATTTTTACTAAAATAGTATGTCCAGAATAATATGATACCCTCCAAAAGTATGAGGATTCGGTGCAAAACAATATAATATGATTAACTGGTGATTGCAATTTAAAAGAGTGCTATTATACATATTATAATCTATAATTTAAAATCAACTACCTATAGCTAAGAGTATATTTTATAATAAATAAAATAAAAATAAAAATATAATCACGGACTATGATTGAGTTTTTAATCATAGAATATTATGATTAACTTCACTAACTATAGTTTTTTTTATCGCATAGTCTAATTGTATTTATGTTTACATAAATAGTCGGTAGGTAGGTAGACCTAACCAGAGGTCCTACCTACATACGCCGTCTTAATCCAAGTACGTAAAATAAAAACACCGCGGTGGTGCGCCGCGAGTATATAGATAAAAATAATAATTATTAGTCTTACCGGGTGATGCAAAGTCGTCGGAGTCGTAAAAGGCGTATATGTAGAGGTCGTCGTGGATCGTTGACGGAGAGTGTTGTGCAAAAGACGAAGCAAAGTCGTGGCGTTTCAAAGGCGTATATTGTAGTCGAGGTCGTCGTAGACAGCTGAAGACCGCACGCACTGCCCGTCGAGAGGTGTCGAACCGATCGTAACTGGAGACTGGAGTAGCTTGGACTGGTGTACCGCCGATAATGCGGCGATCTCGGACCTTTCGACCGACACTTGTGGAGGGTGGTGGTGGTGGTGGAAGGGACGGCGGTGGTGGCGTTACCAGCGGCGAACCGGAGCAGCGGTGGTCATTGGTCGCATCGGTCGAGATCTGTATGTACGTCTAGATAAACGAAACGTGTTTCGGAAGCCCCAACCACCCCCTACCGCGCCATCCCCGAACGACCCCGACCCCTCCGCCAAACCCACCTAAGGGTCTCGCCGTTGGAGCGACAGAGACGCGTTATGTATAATATACGAACAATACGTACTGGGTAGGTAGGCCGTGCACGTTTTATAGTACGGATGACCATAAATTTTTGTCACGTTTAAACAACCCAAGTGTCAGGCCGGACACGACTGCAGGACTTCCAGAAAATAGCACAATGGCGCGCGACCATTATTGTCGTTTGCAGATTTTCGTATGGGAAATCGGTTCGGCGAAAAACCCGTTTCGACCTGAAAATCGCATCTCACTTTTTCCCACCAGATCCGCAGCAGACACCTGTAGCTATAGTCGGCGTACCTGTTATTATAATATAGTATTGTCCTTTTTTTTATATAATAATAATGTTGTGGAACAAGACGCGGGCATCACGTCGGGCACAACGATATAAGAGATGTTAAGAGTTTTGAAAAATCGAAATAAGAGACGGTTGTGGTCGAATAACATAATATATTATTATTTTAAACGCACACGTGGGAACCTAAAAGTTATGGCTAAAGGGTTTGTTTTGGACCAACCTGTGTTTACACGATAAATATGGACGATAATGTATGAATTGTCCAACTCTTCGTGTGCGAAAACTTTTCCGGCGCTTTGGTAGGTGTTTGCACAACGGACGGCATTAATTCATTTTTTTTTTTTAGTTAGCGCCATATGGTCTGTAAAATTAAATTTTTGTTACCCAGCAACTTAAACTCGTATAAATTATGGTCACAATATAGTTTCTATACACATGATCAAATATTATCACACTGAGATAACGTGAGATGATTGTATATGTTAAAATAGAATTATAATACTTAGCCGGTACCCATTTTTATTGTTTGGATTTTTAATCCATTGTAAAGTTGTATACGATCACTGTGCGTGATCGATTACTGCAATTATTTTGGCTTTTACAACAATATTTAAATATGATTATCTAATAAAATTATTATTGTTATTGTATAAAATCAAACAATAATTGTATAATTATACCAATGATGATGAAAATATTTTAAAACAAATCCATTTTTTATTATTGCCCGGTACAAGTGTGGCAGGTGTGCAGGTGTGCAGGTGAATAAGGTAGCAAATATGACGTGGTATCCGCGGTATGATCGAAATAAAGTTTATTTTTGTTCGCATCATTATATTATTTTGATTTTTATATAATATAATACTTTTGTTTAGACAAACTCAACAATGTACACTGTGAACCCACGTGGTCATTATTGTCATATATACGAATGGGCAAAATAAACGCTCGTGCACAGAGATAATTTTTTACAAATTATGCACGTCGAGTTTTCTCCTTGCATGTGTAATTTATGTCATTATTGACATGTTTCAATTAACAAGTCAATTATTCATTGCGTCTGTAAACATTGTAAATCGTTGTATTATTATAATATAATGTTATACCTATCGGAGTAAGCCAAATAAAATAATCAGAGTTTATGTTTTATGATCATATATTATTTTTCATCGAAAACCTGTTTTTAATCAAACATTTTACAATTTTGTTCTTCGGTAAAATATGAAAATACATAAAAAAAATTGTTTGTTTTTGGAAATAATAATAAACAAATACAAATCCATACAGTTCATGACATATTATTATATGATAAAGGTTAAAACACTATGTCAATGTTAAAAAAAAATGAATGTTCTACGTACCGAAATTATACATAATATACAATTAAAAAATTGGTACGAGATGGTACATTGTGTAACGCATTGAAATAATGTAAACAACAAAATAAATATTATAGGTACTCATAATAATTATGGAATGGAAAAATTAACAACGGCGTTAGCATTGAAAGAAAAAAATCGATTAATTTTAATTTTTAATTTTATTAATATTTCTAAGTCTATATTATATATTATTATTATTATTTATTACTATGATAATATAATATATATATATCGTTAATTTTTTTTCACGTGAAATCGAACTATTTCCGTATGGTATTAAGTGCACTGCGAAAATATTAATTATTTTGATTAATTGACATGCCATTTATGTAACGTGGGATTAAAACTAGACATTTTTTTTAATTTTTTAAAAAACAACCTTATTTACGTTTTTTACAAATCATATTATATAATATATTATCATTATGTATCATATATGCGTATAGGTATTCGAAAAACGAATAGACCGAATTATTTTCTAAAAATTTGACTAGATTTAATGCTACAATTTTACAATAATAATGATAATGACGATTGATAATTGTATAATAAAAATAAGAAACAAATAAAAACAATAATAATAAAAAATAAAAACATGTAGAGATACTATAAGATAATTGTCGGCGGATACTGAACGTGTCATTTCACATGCACGACATTACCTATCCCAACCGACGGTACCCGTAAACCTGGATGCCCTATTTAATGTGATATTATTATATTTGGTCTTGGAAATCCAACGAACGGATTGAGTGTGCATACAAATCGATAACAATATATTACCGTATAATATATAATGTTGTTAAATTGTATCATATAATATAACAATATATATATTATATTATAACATAACAATAATGATATATTGTTGGATGAATCGATAGTACCTGTACAGCAGACATAACGGCGATGCAATTTCGTGATCTGGCGATCACACTGACATTATTATTAGAATATGCTATTCCACCTAATACGTATAACCTATAATATAGATATTATTAAATATTGTAATTAAAACGATTTTTTGGCTTCGACTTACACGTTAATAATAAAAAACAAACAAACAAACAAACTTTTGAGGCTCGTCCTACCTAATAATATATTATACTATGTACAAATGAACCAATCGGATTTATTTTCCTCCTCGGCCGTTTTCCGTTGTGCGCCGACCGGAACTGCGTCGCATCGACATACCTAGTCGGGACCCGCGGCCCCGACCGACGTTCGCCGTCATGGCGAGAACACCCGGAGGCTGCGCAAAAGTTTCGCCAGCACGTTGGCCAGGCCCTCGGCGTGCCTGGTGAGCGTTTCCGTGCACACGTCCGTGTCCACGAGCAGGCCGTGGAACGTGCGCAGCACGTCGGCCACCTTGAGTATGAGGTTGCGGGTCTGCAGCGGCGACGACGTGTGCCTGGTCATGTTGCCGCTGAGCACGGTCATCCGGCGCAGTTGCGTGACGCACTGCGACAGGTTCGCCTGGAACTCGGCGCTCTTCGGGTTCATGTAGCACCGGATCAGGATCTTCGAGGACGTCACCAGCTGCCTGGCTTCTTGGCACAGTATGTCCTTGGCTTCCTGGATTTGGGCCGCGCGCAAAAAAGAAATTAATGCCACGCCGTACAGTATCGGTTGTTCAAGTTTGTGCCGGGGAGGAGAGCGCCCCTAACCCGACTGTACCCTCTCCTGCACCCACCCAACCACCCGTCGGCTTCCAACTTTGGAGATTGTGTGTAAGAGGTATATATATACGTCTTATGCCTCGCCACCTGACCTGTGCAACTAATACACCTGCTCAGTGATCGAGAGCTTGCCGCGATAAATGTCTTGGCGAACGTCCACAAACGCTTTTAGATATCCCTAGTCCCATATATATATAATAATGTTTTATGCTCTATCACGGTCTATATAACATTATATGTAGGTGCTGTACACCTCGTTTATTGTATATATACTGAAATTTAATTTATATTTTTACACCTAATGAGTTCGATTGTGTTCGATAATAATTTCGTGTACCAGTAGTATAGTAGCTACGGATATTAGTACATTATAATAATATTACTATAAACACTGATATTTGTTCGATAAGCCGTGCCCGTGTTCGTACTCAAAGTCTTAAAAATGGTGAACTATGTAGGTATTTATAATAAGTTAATAAATTCTCATCGAGTTTCGAGGGTTAGGGATAAAACTATACTATAAATTATTATTATAAATCAAAAAACAGTATTGTTACGCCGTTTCGGTATAATTATACACTCAGGCAGGGATGACTTGTCGAAATAAAAGACAACGCATGTATCAACTCGACTAAAATCGGATTAAATTAATTCGTCGAGTTCATATTTCACACGAAAACAAAAGTGTCCCCCAATCCTATAGTCGTGTAACTCGCTGTGTTATAATTACAGCAACTTTTTCGTTCTCTAATGACGCCAATCGTATTCTGTGTTTTTAATAACACCTACCTACCTACGTCGAATATGGGCGGACGGATATGACAACAGTGCGACTTTATTATTATATTAAAAGTTTCGCGCAGTGCAGGTTTAATGATTGCCTGGAAAATTTAAAACTCGCGACACGAGCAAAACTTTCGAGTGGAATAACACGTAATGATGTTATCACGCTGCAATAGGTGTGTACAGACAGAGTGCTGGGTGACATAACCACTGACACATTTCATGCAATAATATGAATAATGCAATATGTTAAGGTACTACACCAGCATATAGCTATTATTCTACACACAGCTTACTATTAACAAATCGAAGATTATTTATAGGTACCTCTAACTAATAGAAATATCAACGTCGGTTCGCTTAAATAAAATACAAAAATTATTGAAAACGAAAACATTTTGTTTTAGATTCTATAACCAAATAACCGTATTTGTTAGTTTTACAATAATTTTTATTTTTTTTTTCTGAGAACAACTTTTCGTCTCGTTCCAATTTTCAGTAAACATCTTTGACCTGATTGGTACTTTTTAGAGGTAATTTTTCGATATTATCAACAATCAATGCGTTGTGAAATTATTGTTTGAAATAACTATAAAAAATGACCTATACTTTCTCGAACTTACAGTAGAACGAATTCTACGGTTTTTTTTTTCATTTTCATTTTTCAGTGTAATGGGTGGAGATATAATTTTCCAAAATCATATAACACTGAGAAAAAATTACTGAGCAAACAAGCACGGCGAGATATAACCTAAATGATAGATGCATAATGTGATTCGTTACCTGGAACTTGGTCTCGTCCAGATGCGTTCCACCGCCTTGAGCTTGGGCCGTGTTACACTGTTCGCCGAACTCGTTCAGTCTGCCCGTCAGTTCGTTGATGACAGCCACCGCGTCCCTGTTGGTCGAATAGCAACCGTTCCGCATCAGCGTTTCCTGTATGGCACAAAATTTATTACGATATTATATTATGCGGGGTAACACAAAAAAAAAACCTTGAAAAGTATAATATATTACAATCAGTTGTGGACCAAAAGGACCAAGCGTACGGGATCATAATACAGTAAAAACTTTTTCAAAAAAAAACCACACAATTACGAAAGTAACCAAATATACTACTCCTTATCCACAAAGCCTTAATGTAGGCGCATATCACCTCATATAGTCGTCCTAAAATAAGTTTGGATTCCTTATTGTCTTATCTTAGTTAGATCATACCGCGGACGACTTTTCAACAAGTTTGGACATTCAATTATCGACATTTGACTTTAATAATGTAAACGCTTAACCTTAAAACTAATAAATTATTCTCTTCAGATAAATAAATTGGAAATGTTGTTCGTAGGATTCCATAAAGTAAACATAAACTAACATAAATAAATACGTTTCAATATCAAAATGCAAGAAATATTTGATTTTAATATTTATAAGGTTTTAAAATGTAATGGAAGATTCTTCGTTATAAGTCGATCTTACTGGAATTAAATTAAAAAGTTTAACGTAAAGCCACGTGCTCATATTTCCCATTAACTCATGGGTGGCAATTGTGTGCGCATACAGGTGGCGATTTTCACTAAAAACACGATGTTTCCTATAGTTGGGGAAAAGATAATAAAAACCGTATGAGTTGAGTCTGCAACCTAAAGACGTGACACAATATACCAGACTTCTAAATCAAAATTCTGAAAACCGACGAGTAGCAATAGCCTGGATTCAAAACTATATAGATCGTACGCAATATTATCCATAATATTATAGCAACAAACCTGCGACGGCATCGGCGGCAGCGGCGGTTTCGTCGACAGCGTCGAGTCCACCCTGGGCGGGACCTTGGGCTTGACGCGGGGTAGCGTCATGTTCTGAGCCCGGGTGGGCAAGCACGGTGGCTGTGAGTCCGGGCTCCGCTGTCTGGGCCTTGAACAGCACGAGAAACCGGGCAGCGTCTTTTCGCTGGTGGCCGCGCACTGTCCGTCCGGCGTGGTGGCCGCGCTGGCTGACGTCCCGGCGGCAGGGGCCCTCGTCTGGCTGACGCTCCGGCGGCGGCGGTCGTCCGTCTCGTCACCGGAGTCCGACCGCCGGTGTTGGTGCGGGTTCGGGTGTTCGGCGACGCCGTCTGCTGCGGCCGTCGACATCGACACCGATGGCGGCACCTGCACCGCTTTGGGAGGGGGCGGTGGTATTATGAACGACGATATCTCTTCGGACGTTAACACCGCGTTGGATCGCTTCTCTTCCGGCCGCCCGTCACCGGAAGTCTGTAGCAACGGCGGTGGCGGTATGGTCATCGTGGCCAAGAACGACTCTAGGTCCAGGCTCATGAGATTCGTGTGGTTTTTGAACCCGTTATCCAGTACAGAATCTATATTATATAGAAAAAGCCACTTAGTACGAACCTAAGTCGAGAGAGTATACCAGGGGTTCCATTATTAACGCAGGGCACTCATTATTTCAAAAACTAAACAAACGTTTTTGAAAATATTTGTTTTACTTAATTGCAAGTCATTAAAAACAAAATTGTTTTCAAAAAAAACATACTTTTACCAGTTTTATCGTTATTCCGTACATTACGCGCTGTGACGTAATTCGACCTTCGGGGTCACATCACAAAAATGATATTGTACCTGTCTTTATACGAATGCTATTAATGGAAAAATACGATAGGTAGGTATACAGATGTATTGTATTACACCTAGCCTACTTCGACGTAAGAACGCGTATAGACGTAATATGCAGATTTGTAACATAATTATAATACGTGCTGACCGATAGAGCAGTTTAAATTATATTGAAATATGTCTGACAAATATATAGCGTTTGTCTTCAAAGTTCGAAACGGTAAAAAATTGTTGCAAATTTAGAAAGTAAACTTTTTTTTCACATTTTAGAAACCTTGAAGTTGTCCATCACCGAATGTGCCGATACCCTGTACCATTAAAATGTATAACCCATCATACATGTACCTAAAAATCGATCCGAGTTTTGCTGGTGGTCGTAGTCCGCGAACAGCGTCGGCGGCAGACTGCACTGACTGCCGGAGTTGGAACCGTTCGTCTGGTTGATCTTCGCCTCTTCAATGGGTGGCGGTATCAACGTCAAGTCTATCAAGTCCGGTTCCAAGTACAAACTGCTCCTGGGTAACGACCGGTTGTCCTCTTGCAGGTTTTTCCACAGTTCCTGCGGTAACGATGACATAGTATTATCGACATACACGTCTAAGTCCCGCGCACACTCCGCCCATCGACTCGAGCAGTCTCACTCACCTGTAGGGCTTCGTGTCCCGAACTCGCAGCCAGCCCTTCCGGACTGTGCAGCCCGAAACTCATGTCAGAGTCTCTGTTGGAATTCCGCTCGCGGTGCGAAGGGCTGGTCGACGGCGTGTTGATGGACTCCGTGTCGCTCTCTAGATCTCCTAAGTTCAATGCTTGGACTGCGGCGGTTATGCTGTCCTCGGTGCCCTTCTATATAGTATAAAACATATTGTATACACACACACACCACACAATCAAAAACGGAGACAGTGGCTAAATGATATGAGACTTGGATGGACCGAAATATTGTACGCACTTGAGCTAATAACAGTAGCGAATCGCTGTGTTTCAGCTGTCCCAGGTTGGTCGGAGGCGGCGGCAACGACACCGAACCGTCGGACGATATGTGAGAACCGTCCGAGTCGCTGGATTCGCGCTGATGTCTGTTCAGATATTGTTCCGAGTTTTCCACCAACTCTTGCATCTCGGCCACTCTCCTCAGCACCTCTTCGTTATGGGTGTCTACAAAGGTATTGTCGCTTTCCAATATTTCCATGGAAACTACGCTTTGAACGTCGATTCCCGATTTATCTTTTATATCGCCGTTCGATTTGTACCCTAAATGACCGTTTTGATGTTTTTTCAAAGACCTATACGAAAAACGATATTATCGTGTCATTAGGTTGCATTGGTACTCACGCTTTCCTACCTATAAATTTGTCTCAAAAACTGGACGAATAAGAGCACTTACATTGTATTCATGTTGTTGTCTACATTTCCGTTTTGCATACCAGTCCATATTGTTCTATTCAAAGATCCGTAGTCATTGGGCTTGAGCTAAAAATAATAATTACGGTTTAAACTTCTAATCATATATTATACCATATATGTGTAGATACTATATTATGTATACCGACCATTTCGTGTTTGAACGGAGTGTACATTGGACAAAAAGAAAAGTTAGTCAATTTTTCTTGTTCCTTGGCGTTCATGGTCGATGGGCCATAACTCCAAAGTGATGGTTTCACAATATGATGAGAATAATATTGGGGTGCTAAAACAATAATAATTATTGAGTTAATTTTACTGAAGCACGATTATAGTAGTCGGCTTTTTGGGATAGTAAAATGCATAATATGTAAAAAAAAAATTATATGGTTTTCCAGGTTATTCGATTTTAAGTGTGTAGAATTTAGATGCAATAGATACTATAGATATAAGATATAGGCAATAGGCGTATATATAGGTGACGTTTCCTACAAAATAAATTAATATACCTACTTATTAAATAGGTTTTCATGTCATCACTAATACACTTCTACGTATACTTCCACATTGACAAATTTTATACTAATACATAATAATTACTAATCCTATATTAATGAATAATTCTTATATTTTATATAGGATCTTATAATCTACATGCAGTAATAGTGTTATGATTGTTTATAAGTCATAGCACAGCAAATTGCAAAATGGATTTTACCCAAATACCTATATTCTAATAAACATTTTTCTGTGACTTTTTTCAGTTTGATTCAAACAAAATGTTACAGGTACAGAATAAAGGCATATTTAATAAAAATATTCATTAGTAAAACAGTTATTATTACTTACCACTATCCGTGTGTAATAAATCGCCTTCCCGGTCGATTGGCAAATTCATAGTCATCAAAAGTTTAAAATAGCCTTTTAAAACAAGTATAAATTCGTCGGTATCGCGGTCCTCCATACAAAAACTGACTTCCTAAAGGAATATTCGTTGAACATTAATACCGAAATGATAAAGTTTTTCAATAGCTATTGTGTTTACCTTTTGTACTGTGTTTTGTAAATACAACGTCACCGTACTTGAAATTTGATCGTCTTTTTGTACTTTTACCATCGTTACTTGTTCAATATCTGCCAGAGGCACTGGCTGTATAAGGAAAATCAATGATATTCAGTAAATAAAGGCGATAATTTCGTGAAAGTTTATAAACTAATCCTTATTTCCACTTAACATCGATCGAACAATACGTGGAAATAAATGTAATTTTGTTCATATTGAGCAAAAACTGTTCCGGAACTCCGTCGCGAAAATTACAATTTAACTTTGGTCTATATATTATATAATATATTATTAACGCGTATCTCGGTTTATATTTTATACAGACACGAACGAAAGTATGCCAAGCAAAGCGAGGAGAACACTATTCTTTATATTTATGACCGACATATTTTTTTTTTTTTTGTTCGCAGACGATAGAAATTTAGTAAATTATGAGACGCTTACCATACTGTTGCGCAGTCCCACGATCTGACTAATTCCCATTTTAGGGCTGACTAGAATCACCGTTTCCAAGTTGCAATCCTGCAGCACAATACACCATTATCGTTAATTTCATATTAAAATTATTGAATTCGCCCGATCCGTTTTAAATGCGGCACTTACGCGGACATTGGTGGAGAAACATTTTGCGCCGTAACTGGGCAATTCGGAAATTATGGTCAAGTAGTAAAGTTTCGCCTGCAACGCCGTAAGTGTTTTGTAATTGGTACCCGTCATTGTTTGGTTGAGTTTCAACAAATGTGTTAGTAGCTTCCGCAATTCCTTCCGTTTCATCGACTCCATGAGCGATACCGGCACAAACTTTTCTAATCCAAACTCCCGTCTATACATAATAAATGGCATAGTATTATTAATTGATAACTAAGCATGATTAAAAGAACTGCATTGGACTTAACTTTTTTTTAAATTTAATTTATTGATGAATCATCTACATATATATATTAACATCATAGTACTATGTACTTACTCGATAGCTTTGACCGTGACCTTACAATAGGGAATATTGTTGGCCATAGCATGTTGGTGGATATGTAACGCGGCTAACCGCAGAGCTATGTCGTACTTGAGTTCCGGGGCATAGCGTTCTTGAACCACGTCATTGCAACACTTGAGAGGGGAAAAAAATGATATCAGTCACGAGGAGAGCGATCTCGAGTATTGTATATCAATCGGATCGGGTGTAAGACTTACTTGTAAGTACAAGTACTCAAATGCGTTCAGATCTTTTTGAGCCAAATCGCAAGCGTCTCTGGGCACGAACGCCACTCGGAATAAACATCTGAGGTTATGGGAGCCTGGCCTCGACGCGACCTTTTGGCACGAAATTATCGATGTATTCAAATTGAAATATTATGTAAATGATAAAAAATAATTGCTAGACGCTTACCCTGGCCAAAGTGTGTTCGGGGTCCAGTAACGTGAGTTTATGTCTGCGGAGGCTTTTGACTTGTTCGAGAACTAACGCAAAGTGCTCGCCGGCCTTAATGCACAGTTTGTTTTGCAACGAAGCCACGACATCCTTTACTTTGGTCGTGGAGTCGTATTTGAATGATTTGGTCTGTCCGTTTTCCAGGAACACTTTGAGCACATTAGGTAACAAGGCTATGTTCGGGTCGCCTCCGCTGAACGCAGACACCTTCATAATAATAATAATAATGAAAATACAATATTATTTAGAATAAATATTATATTGTGTTAAATTATGTACATAAACGGTTTTGTACGTTTTCGATAATATCACTGCGCACCCACCACCGATTTTATACATGAAATACGTATTGCAAAACGTAATATTAATGTCTGTGCTGTATAATATAGGCACCACTACGCCTATAAGTCATCCGTAAGCAATACGATTATAATATTATTATTATTATTATTATATTATTGTCGATCGATTTATTCAAAACGCGACTGTATACCGGATTTCACATTATAATCTGTGTGTATAAACTTTACGTTAACTTAAACTATTATACTATTGTAGCGATCGTATAACTCACCGGACATAATGGAGAGCCGTTTACGAGAACTCCTTCCGCAAAACGCACCCTAGATGGATTAGATTTGAGTTTGGCTTTTTTTGCCGAACTCAACAGAGCCGACTTCCTGGCCGACTGCAATCAAATTTAAAGTAATATTACCATTTGCCGGTTGCACGCGATAAAAATTGTGATAAAAACTCACATTGTCGAGCGGAGGCTGACACACCAGTAAAGTGATCGTCTCGTTACAAGACCTCACCAGTTGTATTACGTAATCCCTAAGACCATTTTGAACATCTTCGTCGTTTATCTGAAGAATTTGATCACCGGGTAAAAGTTTAGTATCGCTAGGTCCTCCCTCGGTAACGAACCTGTAAACAACAAAAAATATTGTAAATTTACATAATATATAGTTCACTATTAATTTATAACGCAGTTAAATAAAATCAAACATAATAACAATACGTAGGTTAGTAGGAGTTCAACATGAAATTAAAAACATAGTTGAAATTATAAAAAGTCAAAATGGATAATATATTATATTATAATACTTTTTTCGATTACATTGAGTTCAATGTGTTTTTAATTTCAGTAGGTATGATGAACTGTCTAGCCTATTGGATACCTATAGCTATCGAATATAAAAATATGATATACCTATATAATTAACCATGTAGGTATGGATAATTATATGAACTTTATTCAAATTAGAAATCAATTTTTTTTTTATCCCGTTATAAATGATAATTGTAATAGACGAAACCAATCCTTATTATATTTGATTTAATAATACTATTATGAAAAGTCGTGTCTGTTTAAAAGTAAGCATAGAATATTATATACCTAATAAGATTTCAAGCATTGAAATTCCGATCAGCTATCGCAAAAAAAAAAGCAAAATAATTAAACGAAATTCGAGCTGTATATTTAAATTTCGAGTTGTCTCATAAATAATGTATGGGCACGCTTGTCCGAATTGATAAATATTTTTCAATGAAATACGTTTTTAAAATTAAAATCCTCCGATTGGACTTGCAGAAATGTACTGCCTATATTATATTATAATATAGAAACAAACGCATAACAATATTATACAAAATCGACGCAAAAAGATGACGTAAAATACCTATCTTCAACAACACGTCATAGACACATATTGATATATTATATTTATTAAAAAAATGTATAATATAGTCATATACTCCTGCACACTATATGGGTTCATATAAGTGACCAAGTAATACGCAATTATTATCTCATATCACGAGTAACACTCGGCCCTCGGCGGGCGGGGACGAATATATTATGCACGTTTGGATGTCAGGTACCTATAATAGTACTATAATATTAATATGTCCTAGTCTCCATCATTTTCCGAGCCTGGCAAATTATTTTTTATATTCACAAAGCGTCGTCGCAATCGCCTGGTGGGCAGCGACTTGTATAGAAAGAGAACGACGACGACGACAACAACAACAACAATAATAATAATTACAATAAAAATATGACGTGCACAGGTGTTTTGGACATTTTAACGATTGGATTTATGACGTAGATGTATAATGAGAACAATCAATATACATATATGTATAATAATATACGATATTATATATACCCACACATATAACATAGTATAACATATTATAATGTATAGAATTTCAGCACAACAATATACGGTCGGGACCATATTTGCACGCGAGTTTAAATGGAAAACGTCACTGCAAGTATTACCACCGCTCTTCGGTTGAGAGCTTTTTCGCTCGTGTCGTGTTCGCGTTTAGTAAATTAATTGTTGTTCCTGCAATTGTGGATTCCGTCGAAAACGACTCCAACAGTCGTTCTGAATCGGATATTTATTAAAACGTGCGAACTCATATAATACGAATGTATTACAACACTGCAGAGTGGTGTGAGTTTGTGCGGAAGGTGGCCACGAGCGCCGAAATCTATACACGCGCCGGAAAACTTTTTCGTTTTATGAATATTAATATTATATAATTTGTCACAATTTCGGAGCACTTTATACCTATTTTTTCATAAAAGTTTATTGCGCTGTTAATTAATGGACTATCATCGATCATTAGACTTATTTAGACCTATTCGATGTACCTACGTATATTCTCATAATATCCGAATAATGATGATAATATACTTTTCGAAATAAAAATATTGATTTAATTTTGCATAATGCGTTGAAATTATTCAAAAAAAAAAAAAATAAAAACTGTTTTCCGTAATAAATACAATTAATTTTATTTTTAACATCAATCAACAGCCATTACCAATATTGTTAATAACTTCGATTTAATTATAAAATTGAATTTATTTTGCGAATATCTTCTGTAACGGGCATGTTGTAATTTTCACAGAACGATGTCTATAAATTACCCCGAATGGAAAGTGGTATGGGTGCCGAGCAGCCATGTTAAGTATTCGAATATTTGAATTTAAAATACTTTTCAATTAGGTACTCTTTAATAAGTGTTTTTTAAATACTCTCGAAATATGTATTGCGTATATAAATTTGTATTTTATCCCAATAAATACTAAATACTTTTTTTTTTTACCATCGTAGGTATTTCAGCAAACAATATTTTTGTTTCATATAATATTACAACTTAAAATTAATCTTAAAATAATATTTTATACATTTTTAATGCTTCTAACAATTTTTAAGATTTTCTTAAATACGCGCAAATGACACAATATATAAAATGCATAATATCTTCCTTGCTGAAGTTTAACTGGGCAATATATTAGGTATGTGACATCTGAAATTATTGAACCATTGAAATATGTATCTATCTATTAATTATTTAATTAAAATATTTATTAAATATTTTAAGTATACATTTGTGATAAACGTAAAAAACTACAAACATTTCAATATATATAGAACAAAAAGTATTCTTAATACTTTAAAAATGTATCTATTTGTATTTATATTCAGATACTTCTTAAAGATAGTATTCAAATAGGTATTTCAAATATAAATGACACCAAATATTTAAATAAGTAGGTGTTTAAAATACATTTGAAAAATATTTTAGGATAATTAATTTTTAAACAAAAACAAGGATATCGCCATATCGGCCCCGGAATAATGAAGTATTATATGATTTACTAATGAAACACCGAGTTGAAAATATTGAAATATAACCTATCGGCTATCACCTAACCTGATACAATTGTAAATATAATATAATATATATTATTTTTTTAATTATTATAGAATAACGCCAAAAAAGAAAACAGTACAGTATAGTAAAAAATAAAAAAATTGTAATGATATAGGAATTAGTAGGTTATTTTTTTTTTATTTATCTTTATTTTATTTTAGCGCAATTAAATTATAATACAATAATATTAATAATAATATTAAGAGTTGATGCGTATACCAACTGAGCTAAGCTCAATAATACTATAGGTACACATTATAATATTAACAAAATAATTTTGACCTCAACTTGGTTTCAGGATCATAAAATAAATCGAATTCTTTTATTTTATTGCAAGAGGACAATAATCTATTGAATTGTGACTGAAGTCCATAATTTCAATGGTGTGTCGGTGAGCATAGAGTAAGCAGGTAGCAGAGAGGAGGGAAAACTTTAGCACATTAATTGGTATCAAGGTCAATCTATTTTATTGTTTAGAAGATTATAAGTCCATAGTACGTCAATAAATTGAATAGTACGTCTTCTTAACTCTAAATTTTTCAATTTAAATTCATTACCAATAATACTCTAATCTTGTCTGGACAGCTTCCATCGTACGACACATATATAAAACGTATTTTAATGCGTTCAAGTTTTTCAACTAAACCTAACTAATATGGGTTTCAAATCACTGAACCAATTCACATTACAAACTATTATTATTATATACTTCCAATACTATTTTGTCAAATGTTTTCCTATCTGTACAATATACAAACTATAAAATATATTACGCATAATTATAATGTAATACTGCACACTAGGTTATAGGTGGTATAATTCATTTTTAACACAAAAAAAAGTATTTAATTTTCATTAAAATATGATAAATTGGCTAAAGTATATAATATCGTTTTTTGTATACGTTTTGCTTATATTATTACTCAACAGTGGGTAGGTAATTTACGTTGAAATTAATTGAATAGGTTAGGTAGTCAGTTTTAACCGTCTCTAATCGATTTTTTTCGTAATTTTAATAAACTTTTATAATTAAACTGTATAGTCAATTACAGTCCCTGATATTTATTATTCAGTATATATACATCACGGTTATATTTATCCACGTATAGGTATCATGCTATTATATGTGCCTTTCAAAAATATCGTTTTTAATCGTAGGCAGAATATAACCCGAACAGCACACTTATTACATTTATATATCGGACTTCGGTACATTATTTTATAATTTTTTTTAGTCAAGAGAAAAATAACCCTCTGTATCGAGGCCAATTTTTTTTTTTTAGACTTTTGCATAATTAGTGTTTGTGACATTTTTTTTTTTTTTTTTAAAGAATACAATAAATAATTAAATCGTTTATTACTGCACTTCGTTGCCCGTTAAATGTATCAACTCTATATGACTCAAACTTTGTTCAGTTGCTTATTTTATATTCAGTGTATGGCGTTCAAAATTTATCTTAACTTTTCTGTTGCCCGGGCCCCGGGATAAAAATTCTGATTCGCAGCAGTACATTATCAGGTAGTCAATCTACCTGCGGTAGATCGAGGACCCCATGCTGTTTGTACGTAAGTGTATGATTTGACTTTAAAATATCAAAGTTATACCAAGTTTGTCGTTTTTACTTAATTCCACTTACGGTGGATTAATGTAATCAATTAATACAAAATCCTAACCTAACCGTACTAAAGTCCGATGAATAAAATAAAACCAAATTTAACCCTTTTAAATTAGCCTATCTTCATCCCAGAGGTCTAATCTACCCACAAACATTAATTTATATACATATATTGACAAAAGATAATAATACAAATCAACAAACAGGCCTGATTAACCAATAGCAACCAATATATTATTATACTAATATACTATTATACTATTATTATTTTAATCTACAACAATAAAATAAATTTTTAATTTATTATTTAGTTAATTTTTTACATCCATATTTCCTACTTTTCCGGTGGATTTTCCTAAAATTGTCTTTCATATAAATCTTCTCCTTGAAATACTTTGTCGTTTAAAAAAAAAAATCAAGAAAATCTGATAAGTAGTTTCGGAATTTATCCCGAACAAAAAAAAGCTACTTCATTTTATATAGTAGTACAGATATAGATTAATAGTAATAGCATTGATTATATATATTAGTAATTATAATCAATGGCAGTAGGTAGTAATGACAAATGTACAAAGT